GTTTTCGACCATTCTCTCATAAGGATGTAATCGGGTAAATTTTGCCGTTTTTTGACTTATGGGATTTTTTTTCCTTTTAGCCTTTTTTCATTATAGATGGGCTCAACAATTATAATTGTGATTATTATTATCCTTTTTGTCATTATAATTATCATTATTGTCACTATCATCATAAAAGTAATAATTATCGCCATAATTATCATTATTATTATCATTATTGCAGTTATCATCATTATGGCAATCATTAATGTCATTTTCATCATTATAACCCTTTCTATAATAATAATGATAATGATAATTTTAGGGAAAATAACAGCAATAATATAAATCAAAATAACGGTAATAGCATTATCATTATCATTTCTATTGTTGTTATTGGTATGAAAATTATTGGAATATTGCTAATTATTGCTATTATTTCTATTATCATCAAAATTATTATTCAATTTTTTTAATATTCATTCTAATTATCATTGTCATTATCATTATGGCAATAACTAATATCATTTTCATCATTATAACCCTTAAAATAATGATAATTGTGATAATGATAATTTTAGGGAAAAATAACAGCAATAATAGAAATTATAATAACAGTAATCACAATATCATTATCATTTCTATTGATATTATTAGTATGAAAATTATTTTAATATTGTTAATTATTGCTATTATTTCTATTATCATAATAATTATCATTACAATTATTATTTTATCACTATTCTAATTATCATTAGAATTATTATCACTATTATCATAATTATCGTCAACATTAGTGGGATTATCGTGGAACTTGTTTAAATTATCAGAATTAATGCTAAAATCCTCATAATTATCATTTCGAATCGAATAGGGGTGGGGGGGTTCGACCATTCTCTCAAAAGGCTGTAATTGGCTAGATTTTGCCATTATTCGACTTTTGCGATTCTTTTACTTTTACCCTTTTTCATTATAAATGGGCTCAATAATTATCATTATAATTATTTTTATTCTTTTTGTCAATATTATTATCATGATCATCATTAAAGTAATAATATCGCCATTATTATCATTATTATTATCATTATTGCAGTTATTATCATCATTATAGCAATTATTAATGTCATAACCCTTTCTTTAAGGATAATGATAATAATGATAATTTTAAGGAAATACAACCAGCAATATAGATAAGTATATACTACAGTTATAGCATTTAGAAACCAGTGCATATTTTTTCTTCTAAAAAAAAGCGCCTGTAAGACTTTTTGATTCTATCTACGAACGATTTCTGGGATTTTTCTTATTTTCAGNCGCGTACATCTTTGTCAAGGTCTTCTTCATCATTACCACCTTTTGCTGGATAATCCCTTCTCACTTCCTTTTATATCCTTGTCATCCAGACCCACTTGCACCTGAGGAAAGAAAAAATCAGGAAATGAATGATATGCAACAGAGAAGTTCTAAAATAATACTAGATTGAAATACATCATTAGCAGAAGAAAAACGTCTGAATGCATGGTAACACAACTTCTTAATAACACATCTATCATACAAATGAAAAGGTTGAATATGTACAAGACTATATACATCTCACGTCAGCTACCAGTCTATTATGCACTTTCCCAAATCCATGGATACCAAGTAGCATTATTATGAACAGTATTGCAATCAATATCATTTAGCTCATTATCTTCTTTTTACTCATTAATAAAGTGATACACATTTAGTTTTTTTTTCTTTCTTTTCTAAGTTGAATAATGTAGCCTGAAATGACAGTAGCAGTACAAGGTGTTGTAGAGGTCAAGAAACTAAACTGGATTTTATCTCTTTATTGTTAATGAGCCAAGCACAAGTAATGTCAGGTCAGTAGTCGTGTGGCGAATGATGATTCCGCCTCAGGTCCGGCGGCTTAAGTACCTGACCGGTGATGTTACCTCGGCCGGTTAGGGCGGTCCCGAAGCAAGAGTCGGCCAATCGCAGGTCAGGTGCGGTCCTGGATTGATGGCCAATCAGGAACCGCTACAGCGGTTCCTGTGTGGATATCTTCTGCACATCCTCGGATCGTGTGGCGACATGAGCTGCAAGGGATCCCAACGTCACGGCGGAGGTGGTGGTAGTGGCAGACACTGTTGCTTTTGACGGTGTGGGTGCCCTAGCTGCGAGCATCGCGTCGGCTTTTAGGGCAAGGTGCTCCAGTGGGGCGTCTGACACCAGCAGAATTTGCTGGATATCAGCGGGCAGCCGCTTGAGGAAGAGGAAGCGCGTGACGTCTGGTGGGAGCGTCGTGCCGGTGCAGGTGAGGAGGCGCTGGAAGTGGTGAAGGATTTCCGTGGGAGTACAGTTGTCCGCGGTGTCAGACGAGAGGAAGGAGCTTAAAACGGTCAGGGGGTCAGGTGCAGCTCGCCTAAGAATGGGCTCCTAAAGCTCGTAGGTGGCGCACCAATGATCATTCAGGAGGTTGCTGACGGTCAGAAGGAGTTCTGGCGGGAGGTTAGTGACCAGCAGGCGGAATTTAATGGTCTGGGTGGTGATATTCCTGAGGAGGAATTCCTGCTCCACTTGAAAAAAACATTCCAGCAAGCTGGCCAGAGAGCAGGCTGGTAGCATCCTGTGTGTTGCTGACATCTTGTGTAAAAACTTGGTTCACTCCGAGGGTCACCAGTGCAGAGGTTAAGAAACCAAACTGAATTTTATCTCTTTATTGTTAATGAGCCAAGCACAAGTAATGTCAGGTCAGCAGTCGTATGGCGAATGATGATTCCGCCTCAGGTCCGGCGGCTTAAGTACCTGACCGGCGATGTTAGCTCGGCCAGTTAGGGCGGTCCCGAAGCAGGAGTCGGCCAATCGCAGGTCAGGTGCAGTTCTGGATTGATGGCCAATCAGGAACCGCTACAGTGTAACAGCAAGTCATGAACAACATCTTAAATGTGACTGCATAACCCCAACATTAGGACAGTTTTTTTTTATGTGCAATCATGTGAAAATACTAGGGATAAGTGAGATATGGGGGGATAGGGGCGTGTGAGGGACTGACCAGTACCCAGCAGTACCCTATAATACCCTACTTTAGTACCAAGTCAGGAAAACAGATAATTTGAAAACTGAATGACCATAGTTCAAGTTATTTGTAAAGAAAAGAAATTATAGAAAAAAGGGATTGGAAAAAATGCCAAACCAATGAAAATATTGATCTGACTTAGGTCAACTAGAACTGACTGATCACGCTCAGAATTCTTTATATGTGAAGCAGAGGTGCCTGAGAAAATGAGCATGAGCAGATATGACCTTAAGTTTTGTATCATCTGATGAAATTAGGCCTTGTCATATCACATGATGTAACTTTTTTTTTCTCTTCCATATGTTTTTAAGTCATATCATGTGTTGTGATGTCATATCATGTCTTTTCACACTATCATGTGACCTTCTGGGGCATGTGGAGTGATTTCATTGGCTATAAAAGCAAAATGACTACCTTGACATAGGTCAAGGTAGTCAATCACCAGCTTAACCTTTGATCTTTCATATCATGTCTCGACAGCTTTCCATGGTTCGTTCTTGAAAGCCTCGGTCTTCTGCTGTTCGATCCCTCAGCTTCGAAACTGAGAATGCATTGCATGACCCCCAGCCTTCCACCCCCCTTGAGGGTGGAAGATCAGATCCTCTCTCTGATCAGGAATGTGAGGATACAGATGAGGAGTACTTGCCACCGACTAAACAACGCAGAACAGAGGATGCTTCAGGTAAGTTTTCTCCTATTTCCTAATTTGTAAAAAGCACAACCAGGCTACCTTTACTAAGTGAGGTATTTCTGCACTACTTTACTGTTTATATATAGAAAAAGTCATGTTTTCATTTCATACTGTTTTACAGATTCTCAAGCTTCCCTTGATGATGACTGAATAGATGAGCAGCTCTGATGAGGAAAGTGAGCGGTCTGACACCGAGTCAAATTGCAATACCCCCAGGAACTCCTCCTTTTTCTGGAGGAAGGAAAATGTCTCACGGGTCTTCGACTTTTTTGCTTCTCCTGTCCTTTTGAGATATTCAGCAAGTTTGTGATAGAAGAACTGCTGGAAAATATTGCAGAGGCAACAAACCAGTAATCACCTCAAATTTGGTTACTGTTTGTTGGTTTTAAAATATTCAACTTACAAAGTCAGATCTCTCTCCTGCCAACACATTTTTTACCATGTCAATTCTCTTTCTCCTGCAGATATGTTTCCCAGTACCCTCGGTCACCCTCCTCCCATATGAAAAAATGGGTGGATACCACGGTGCGGGAGCTCAGATCATACCTGGGGCTGCGATTCCTTATGGGATAGCAGCCCAGGCCCCATATGAGGGACTATTGGTCTCGTGACCCTCTCCTGGTGTCGGCAATCTTTCCATATACTATGTTGAGGGACCGCTTTGATGTTCTCACATCGACTCTACATTTCGCCAACAGTGAGTCCCAGTACCCAAAGGCAGATGGGCTCTGGATGTTGAGGCCTGTCCTTGACGTCCTGAACAAGCATTTACTTCTGTTTTCATCCCCAACAAGACCATCACTGTGGATGAAAGTCTGTGGGCCTTCAAGGGGCACCATCATGCACTGCAATACATGCCCAGGAAGAGGGCAAAGAGGGGAATTAAAGTTTACAAACTGTGCTCCAGTAAAGGACCAGAAGCAGGGTACACCACTGCCTTCAAAATATACATGGTGCAGGACCATGGGGGCTTTCCAGCCAGTATGAAGGCAGTAACTGATCTCATGGAGAAGGGTCAGTTGTTTGATAAAGGCTATGAGCTCTACACTGACAATTAGTAATCTTCCCTTAAACTTTTCCAATATTTACATATGAGGAAAACATATGCTGTTGGAACAGTACGCAGTAACAGGAAGTACATGCCAAAAGATTTACAGGTCAAGGGGAGGGGCAGTGTCGATAGCCGCAGCACCTCGACGGGCATGATGGCAATTCCAGTGGATGGACAAGAAGCCAGTGACAATGTTGTCCACAATCCACACCAATGAAATGGTCACCCTGCAACTGAAGCACAAAGAAATAAAGCAAATTAAACCCAAAGTTGTAGGAGACTACAATTTTGGGATGAAGGGTGTGGACCTGAGTGACCAAATAGCACAGTCGTACCCAGTAACCAGGAAGACACTGAAATGGTTTAAAAAAATCTTTTTCTACCTTCTAGATATGACAGTAATAAATTCTCTATCAGTACACAAGGTACTTGGAGGGAAAATGTTGCAAGCAGAGTTCAAGTTCGAGCTTGTGCGAGGGCTCTTACAGCAAGGAGAACAAACTGGTAGGAAGAGGAACCCTCCATCTCGCATCCCAGTTCATCCATTACCTCCTGCTGCTGCTGATACTCCTGCTGACATACATATGCCAGAGGACACACCTTTACAGAAGTGGAAGAGGTGCAGTCACTGCTGGAAGCAAGACCGGCAAAGAAAGGAGACACGTATAAAGTTTCAAAGTGTACCATGGGCTTCAGAATGCATCTTGAATAAGCAAGGATGACTAAGAATATACATTTGTGAAAAAAAATAAATAAAAAAATAAAAAAATAAATTACATGTAGATACTAATACTTACCTCCGCCAGCAAAAACACACCATTGCTCTTATATAATTATCTGGAACACACATGTAGTATTATAGAGTATGTACTACAATACAACTGAATAATGTCTTTCATAGGACATATGATACAGCCAAGATACATATCTAAACTTAAAGCATAGAGTAAACACAGTCTGCACAATGTCCTGAAAGGAAATACAGATGGCTGTCAGTGTTCCCTGGAAGGAGTACCAGGTCAACAACAGGTTAACTTACTTGTGATTAAAAGTTTGTGTATGACAAACAATTACTATTTCTGCTACATAGGCCTATAGTAATGCAGATTTAGCTCATTCATACTCTTTGGTAAGGACATTTTGATCAAATACGTATGTACATATATATATGTAAAGCTTCAACCATGAATCTGCAAAACTATTTTTAGTAATTTTTATGCTAAAGTCAATATATGGACCACTTCACACTAGAGGAAATGTTATCTATACAGGTTCCTATTCAATTTTCTAATTTGTATTAAGGAATTACTAACATTTAAGGTACCCTCTATATCAATTTTTCTATGTACACGCGTCACCTACCGACTACTGACTCTCTTGCATACAAGATCTTAATTAAAGAAGCAGCATCTTATAAGACGTCTTTTATTTAACCACATTATAGAAGGTTGTAAGAAGATCCAATGTTACCAAGTTGGTGATGAACATAAGATTTCCATATAGGAGTAATTAGAGCTGAATATTTACACTTTGTGGGTTAGTATATGGAATACTAATGAAATAAAAGTTGTGCACAAACACAACAGAAAAAAGAAAGACAGCAAAAAAGGAAGAAAATTAGAAAGAAAGAAAAAAACTGTGTAAGCCTCTCTCTAGGAATAGGCAACTTAAAGGGCAAGGACATCTCCATGGTATTTACAACTGGCATGTTACGATGCAATGTGAGCTCTTACATGTGATAAAAATGGGGTCAACTTCTGAGGCACAAACTTTTGCACATATCAGGTATTAGATCAATTTCTTGATGATGTATTACACTAAAATAGTAATATATACCTCTTACTTCCTCACTACCTGTGTAAGAGTATGACTGTTTTAACCACTTGGATTAGGTTGCTTCACAGCAATCACATTTACCAAAATAAAGGCTTACATGAGTGGCCAGGTGTGCAGCTTGTAGGCCAGGCACACGTACAGTGACAAGACTGTATGCCTTCCATTTGCAATGTTATTCTATCTTTTAATGCATAAACATTTTCAGATTTTTTCCATTTTTGAATGTTCATACTTGAAATTTGATTTGCTTTATCCAAACAGTAGCAGACTGTTTTCCTTGCACAGACTCCATATCATCCCTCTAGCTAGTTCATATTTCAGTGCAATAAAATAGAAATAAGTTATTTCTTTTTCTTTTTTAAGGGGACCGTCCTGGAAAATGGCCACCTTTCCCTACTCTTTACATCATAAAAAAATATCGGTTAGAGATAACTGATTGATTCTTTTCGCATGATATAGAGTAAAGAATTATGCTCCGTTATATATATAAATATTAACTTTGCTCCCCCATGGGGGGGGGGGGGCACCCCCCAAAAAGTCTTAAAAAATCACTGTTTATTTTGGTATGTTTTCGGTACATCCCAACTATCACAGTTCTTTACAGAATATTCCCCCCAAAATACTTGTGTTAGATCAACCCTAGCCTATAGCCATGTAAAAGGCCGAATTTTGAATTTCCTTTTTTTTTTAGCGGGCGACAGCTTGACATAGATAACTATTTTTGATTTTTTTTTCAGCATTAAAATATTATTTTTTGATTAAGGCAAAAATTCAAAAATCGGCCTTTTACATGGCCTTGGGACGCCGAGGCTCTAGTGAAAGCAACAAACTGTATTTGAATCGCATGAAAATTACGTGAGTTGGGATGTAACGAAGATTCATAAAAAAATAACGGAGCTACGGCGTCTTGTACTTGGCCCCTTGCCAAAGTTCGTTATCTGTTATTTTTCTCTGATTTAATATTATATATAAAAAAAATGCTTATTTAGTGTACTTTGCAATGCAATGATTACCAAGTCAATAGGAATTTTCATTTTCAATAGGGACGCTATTCTGTAAAGGTATGTAATTTTATTGTTGTTCATAAAAGTTGATATTTTCGTGTGAAAAGCTTAATAAATGCATTTTACCATAGAGACAACTAGTCTAAACCAGATAAAAAGCTTTTTTTATTTTCTTTATCTCTTTTATTTTTCATTTTATTTATTTATTTATTTTTTTTAAGAAATGGGGAACTGCGAATGGCAACATTAGTACAAAATCATTCTAATTATAAAGTCCTGGCATGAATACAATATGGTGGTTCTATTTTGAGAATTTTAAAAGCATATGAATTTAGTACATTGAATTCAAGAACTTACGAAAGTCGTTGAATATTTCCCATGCCTCACACAGTGGGGGGGGGGGGTGGAATGGTCACTGGGTGTTTATAATTTTCGAGGAGGATCATATGTACATGAACGCACGCACATAAAGTTAAAAAGATTAATCATCATCATTTAGTAGGCCTACATTGACTTTCATATCTAAATAATAAAATTTATTAGTTATCCCTCTCATACCATTTTCTTCGATAATTGTCAATATTAACAGATTGCAAAGGAAACAAGTGTATACTTTATGATTAGCCATTTGCACCCATTATCTTTACTAAGAAGTGCATAAAATCATGCAGATGCCTATATGTTGTGGGATATTTGCCAATTTATGGTGCCTAAGACTTACGGTAACGTCTAAATATATTCATTTTTATCGGGAACGCACAAAACGGATGCGATAGCTTTTTGAACGCCAGACGAAGACTACGCATACAACCGAGCTCAAAATTCCATATAGTTTTTATTTCAGAGCAAGTATTACCGAGTACTATCATCTTCAACATGAAATAATCTGTATCTCGCTTATACATCCGAAGTTTAAAAATCTGACATTTAGGTAACATTCGTATTGAATTGGTCTTTACAACGGTAACTACCAATTTCAAATCAATTAATTCAAATTGCCCCCTGCTGTGATGTACTGACCGTTGAGCGAAATGTAACAGAAATATTTCAATCCTTCCTAATAAGGCTATTTTTAAACATTAGTGCTTCGTATGTGATATACGTATATATTACCTTGTAAGCTAAAACATATTACCAGGGAGTCTCGATTGAAGCATATTTCGTGTGTAAAAGGACACAAAACACTTGTTTTTTTTAGATATATTTCACAAAATATTTCGTCATAAATCACGGTGATATAATTTTTTCCTGATATTGGTAAAAAAGTGTTCCTTGAACATTCACGAACTAATATCTATGCGCAATGTCATAATCAAATGCCTTATGCACTATTGCCGCAAGCAAAAGTCCACATAGGTGTACCTGGGCGCTCTTTAGCGACGTACCTCTCTGGGTGCTGAGGAACTCGTGCACCGGCTGCAAGACAACGAGCCATAGCAGGCGCTTAATACTCGTTTGGTAGTTTCCTCATCCATGTACCTATACTATACGCTAACTAACTCAATTTAAACCCCTTCCCCCCCTCCATCAGGGACGGTCCCCTTCATATTCAATTTTCTGTAATACAACCTGCACTGCTGGTCACAGCAGCCAGGCACAGGATGAAGAGCATGGAAATGGTGTCTTCTCTGGAGCTGGCGCTCTTCCAGTCATGGCTCACGGGCATTACATTCCACACTTGCTGATCATCAGGAATAATGCAAAAGCCCCTTCATTAATGCCAAATGACTAACCACCCTCCTTGAGGTTTGTGCACTTGTGACGACTTTTTCATCACCCCAGCCTGCAGCCGAAACGCTTATCATCATCATCATCATCATCATCATCAAGGGGGCTGATGCCGACGGGGGCACATAGCATCCGCATACGCCCTTCGCTTCCACCTACGAGGGTCCCTCATGGCTAGACGCCAGGCAGGGACTCGGCCCATCTCTAGTTCTTCACGGCAGGTTTGGTCGATCTGCCCAATCCACGACTTCCTCGGTCGTCCCACAGGCCTCCTCCACCCAGGGTTGTCTCGAACAGAGACGACCTGATGGGCAGGATCATCCTGAGGAAAGCGAGCCAGGTGGCCATATAGCCTGAGTTGGCGATCACGGACTGTGCAGATAACAGGTCCTGTGCCAGTCTCACGGTGCAACCATTGGTTGGACACATGGTCCCGCCAACAGTACCCCATGATCTGGCACAAGGACCTATTACAAAAGGCTTCAAGACGAGCCTCCAAGGCACAGGACAATGTCCAGGTTTCGCTACCGTATAGCAAAACTGGTATTATCAGGGCCTTGAAAACCCGTAGCTTGGTCCTTCTGCACAGGTACCGACATCAAATACTCTTGTTGAGAGAGTTCATAACCCCTGCTGCCAGGCCAATCCGTCTGCTGACTTCATGGTCTGACAGCCCAGAGTTATGAACTACACTACCAAGGTATGTAAAGCTCTCTGTGACTTCAATGTTCTCGCCGCAAGCACGTACCCACTGAACAGGTTTTCCTAGCAAGTCCCCAAATTCCTGGACCTTGGTCTTGGTCCAGGAGACCTCTAGACCTAAGGGCTTCGCTTCATTGCTAAATGCATCGAGAGCCGCCACTAGGGTTTCCAAAGACTCAGATAGAATGGCAACGTCATCAGCAAAGTCAAGGTCTGTAACCTTGATATTGCCCAGCGTTGCCCCACAATGACTTTGAACAGTAGCTCTGCCCAGTATCCAGTCCATGCAAGTGTTGAAAAGAGTTGGTACAAGGACACAGCCTTGCCTCACTCCTGAACTAACAGGAAAGAAGCTCGACAGGCCCCCACCACACTTTACAGCACTTTCAGTACCAGTATACAGGCTTGTTATTAGTCCAATAATCCTTATTGGAATTCCTCTCTGCCTCAGG